GTTTTTTAGCATCCATGTTGCCACTTAAGAGGCTGTTTGTATCTAAGAAGGTGTTCGTTTATTTAAAAGCATTTATCTCTGTTTCACTCCTAGGGGAAGAAAAATTGTTTCTTTGCCGGTAGAAGTTTGGGGGGGGGTGTGGGTGGCGGTGGAAAGTGCCGGCAAACCTGTTGGGCTCTCGAGGCAAGAGACAAACACCAATGGTTTGCCGTTGCCTGCCTCCACGTCACAACCTTGGCATTCCTTGGAGGTCTCCCATCCAAATAATAGCCAGGGCCAACCCCGCTTAGCTTCTGAAATCTGACAAGATCAGGCTAGCCTGGGCTGTCCAGGTCAGGGCAGTAGAACTTTACATTTTTAATTAGATAACATTTTAAATAGTGGCAAATTCTAAAAAAAAAAAATAATTGTAGATGCAGATTAAGAACTGATCTTTTAAATGGATGCAAACTTTCATGCGTTGTTTTGCCAGTTTGGTGTAGTGGTTAAGTGTGCGACTCTAATCTGGGAGAACCGGGTTTGAGTCCCCACTCCTCCACTTGCACCTGCTGATGTGACCTTGAGTCAGTCACCAGCTCTGGCACAGCTGTCCTCGAAAAAGAGCAGTTTGTGTCAGAGCTCTCTCAGCCCCACCCACTTCACAGGGTGTCTGTTGTGGGGAGGGGAAGGGAAAGGAGTTTGTAAACCGTTCTGAGACTCCCAAGTGAAGGGTGGGGTATAAATCCAGTCTCTTCTTCTTTTTGTTCACATCTCCTTCTCTCAACTCACCACATCTGACAAGGCTTATTCTATTGTCGATACAGCTTTGTACAATGGCCGCTTATGAAATGATGGGTGTTAACTCCAAGGCAGAGGGCTGTGTCTTGGAGATGTCGGGGGGGGGGGAGTTTTGTAAACACCTTTATCAGATTTCTCCCCCCCCACACACACACACACTCCACCTTTCTGGTGATTTGCATCGAGGCCACAAGGGCAATACGGTCACATTGTGATCCTATTCCCTTTATCGGCTTTGAAGCATATTTTGCTAGTTCAGCTTAACGCATGCCTTCCTTAGCAAAGAGTTTACAGTCCAGAGAAGAGAGGAGGAAGGGCCGTCACTGGAAGTCACCTTTAAAGTGGCCACGTGCTTGCCAGTGGATGGTTTAGGCAGTGTATTTCCTCCCCTTTTCTGGTCAGTTCGCAAGCACTTACAGGAGAAGTGTTTGCTCCTGGTGGACTAGGCTCACAAGTGCGCCCAGTCCAGGAGGCTTTACCTTCACTTTAGTTGGGCTGTCCACGCTCTTGACGATGTGACCACTCTTGTGTTATTGTACCTGGTTGTCTCTGATCACTCAAGAAGACAGATTAGTGCGGGGAATGGCAGCATTTTAGTGGCGGTCCAGAGAAACGATGATGGCAGAAAGGCTTCATGGGTGGTTTTTTCCAGGAAACGTATTGCCACCCTGAAAAGCACAAACTTTGGTTTCGTATTCTCAGGCAAGCATTCAGTGGAGTCCCAGTTTCAGGAAAACCATGCTGACTCTGTAATGTTTCACCTGGCTTAGATGGATACGTCTCAGATGTACAAGCTAGCAGTATACAGAAAGGGGGGGGGGATCTGTATTTTTATCTAAGTAAGCTCACAACACCAGAGACCATCAAAGTGGCTAGGAATCAATTGGCCTCAAACCTGCATACCCCTTCTTGGGGAAACGTACAAGTGTCATTGGTATCTTTTCTTCTTTTTTTTTAACCTCTTTTTTTGTCTGACCCGCTCTATCTGCAGGGACGGCCTCCAAAGCCTGCTTTCTGAGTTCTCATCTGTCGAGTGCTTTTGTGAAAAGGGGTGGGCGGGGTGGATGTGTGGGGGAAAGCCGTAGAATGAGCCGCGGTGCTTTAAAGGGGATCCCCATTGTATGTTTTTTTCTGCAAGCTGAACGAGAACCTCTCTGTGCCCTTGTG